TGATATCTCGCGATCTGGACATGCTAGGGTCACGAATTTTGGTTGGTAGCTAGCTCTTGGGGTAGAAAAGAAGTGGCATGAGTCTGGCCTCCTAGCGGCTTGTTCTGGAACTGCAGGGGTGTTCGTTGAACAATTCTCGAAGAGGGATAACTCAAGAACCAGTTGACGGAGTGTTTTTTTTGTATGTAGGTAGCTGAAGTGATGCTTGACAGAATCAGATGACAATTATGCAAATCAGGAGCAAATTTGAATAATTAATGAGGAAATTCTATAAATCTGCTTCGTTCTATAATAGGAATATGAAACACTGTGTGACATGTAATTGAGAACGAGAAAAACATCTGAGGATATAGATTATGTAAATGAAGACCTAATTTGCCTAATTAATGGCAAATTGTTATAATTTCATAGTTGTAATTGTTGGGAATTTCATACTTGCCGCATTTGGAAGTTAAGTGAAGGTAATAAAGATAATCTATTCAAATTATGACCTCATTTGCATAATTTCTGAGGAAGTGCTAGAATAGCCTTTTTGTTAAAGATAAGGCTGTCATTGGGTGCAGAATATGATCTACTTATATAATACATGCAAATGGGGCTCTTTTTTTTGCTAAATCAATGATTAAAATTGTATAATTCGTCAACCGGAAGGGTTAACATCATTGGCGAAGGTATGAGATGGTGGAACTCTTGTTCTAATTTCCACCAACGGAACGTGATGACATTATTCTGGGAAGAATCCACGGTTTCATGTCATCAAGAGGCTAAAATAAACACTTCTGCTGTGAGAGATGTGCCTTTCTAATTTCTGTGCCTGAAGCTCAACCAAAGTAAAGTCCTCCGAATTTACTAGTTGTGTCATGTTTCTTTTGTCCATGTTTGTTTTGTCATGTTCCTACTCTCCAAGCAGAGGTTTGGGTTTGGGTTATTTTTAGCTTGTTTTTAGGCTTTTTTTATCGGGGTTTCTCTTTAGCACTGGATTGTTTTTTTACCAAACCCAAGTGATTTTTTCCACCAAACCCAACTCGGGAAAAAATCCAGTGCAAAAGAGAAACCACGATTGAAAGAAGCCTAAAAACACGCTAAAAATAACCCCAAACCTCTGCTTGGAAAGTATCATCTTCCCTCCTCACGTCTGCTTGATTTTGTGGCCTCACCTCGGGCATCTCTAAGTAGCCCCGGCTGTCCACTTATCAGAGCGGAAACTCTGTGACCTCACACCCGTCGAGTAGGATTGCTACTTGTGACGTCACACAAGGAAGTGATTACAGAAAACCCAACCCGCTCGTGCTTAGGTGATTATCACAGAAAGGGGAAGTCCTGTACACAGACAGGACTGAGGAAATATTCCCGATTCAGTCAGAGTGGAGTGAAGCTGTATTCTGCACCATGGAAGTGTTCCCTACAACCAATAAAGGACAGACGTTAATACGTGCCATGTCACTTCTCGGTGTACTGCTATGCCTGTATCCAGCGGTCTCAGGTACGTTACGTGAGCTCTTAAATTGTACTTGTCTCGGTAGGGCAGGATAACAGGAACACTTGAAAGATAGTTTCTTTCGACATACTTTGAGGTCTACATGTTTTCAAATGCCAATCCGTGTATAACATAGTAAGAACTTTAATGCGCGACAGTTGTACATGGTACAATATATATAACACCATGGTCCCCTCCCCAATACTAATGTAAGACACTGTCCCAACAAGCGTAATGTGTGTGTTAGGGGCTCTGATGTGTTTGTAGTGATGGGAACAGATACTGAAAAAAACGAACTTGATTTAGATTTTTTAAAGGAAATATCTCAATGATTTATGATGTAAATTTATCGGATTAATATTTGACAAGTAAGTCGAGAGTAAAATGTATGTAAACGTATGTAAAATGATGTGACAAGTTACGGATTGCTATGATTTTGCCCCGAAGATCAAATAGAAGCGTTAGCCAGACTGTAGTAAGAATCGGCCTGTGTAGACCTTGGCTACAGTCTGGCTTCCAGGTTATACAGGGAAGTTGTGCTATGTGTACTTCTATTCTATCGCCTACAACAGGCGGAGAGAATGAGGAACTAGCCTTCATCAGGCCTTCCTACGGGGGTACAGAACCTGGTAAAAAAAGGGAAATACTTTGCCAGGAGAGTCAGTCCAAGGAAGGGTTAATTTTCCCCTTCTGAAGGGGGCAAATGAACTCTACGCTGGCTAAACTCCCTTAAGTCAATTATTCTCCCTATTGGCTAAATTTTACTTTTTTCGAACCCGCGTTGTTAGTCTGGTGGAGACTAATGAGGAACACTGTACATGAGTCAAGAGTCAAGAATAGACCTAGGCAAATTTACAAGGTGTACTTCTCAGTGTGGGTAAGACATCAACATTCAAGAAAATAAAGGATTCAAAAAAAGTATGACTTATCGCCAATATTTTTAAAGTCAAATACTGATAGCTGTTGTTTATAATGTGTACGGAAAAATGCCCACATCTGTGACATGCCTCAGTTGGATCAGTTATTTTCCCGAAGCATGTTGTTATCACATAGAAACTCATTTGTATCACCCGGAGTAGAATCCTACAAAGGTAAGACATCCTGTGTTTCAAGTCATTATGTTCAAATTGATATGAACTATGTACGATTACTTAATAGGTTCCAATACAATCATATTTCCTTACTTTGCATTATACAATAGAAAAACCATACAATAGAAGAACTTTGTGAATTTATCTCCAATTGCTTCAAAAAGAGAGAAGAAATCTTCACTGCCTAGATTACTAGTAGTTTATTATCTAGTAGTTGTTAAGACTTTTATCCTTTTATCTTTATATCCTATGCATCATGTTACTCAGTATGATGTACATGTAACATCACATTCTGATGTATGTATTTAGCCCCATGGGCATGATTCAATTCATTATTTTGTGTTTATTTATTTTGATGTAGTGCCTGTGCCGTGCATGTCTGTTTATGTTTGTGTTTTTGTCTTCCTGTGAAAATTGAATTTAAAAAAACGTGAAAAATCCTTCTTGGCCCATAGCCACGGTCAATTGCTCATGTCAGCCCTTGTTTACCAAAAAATTCCAACACAGATTATATCTAATGATATTGTTTACTCCCAAACACGAACTGAGAGAGAGAGGTCGTAAGAAAACGTTGAAAGTTGTCCATGCGTAACAGCCCTATACACAGACTGACAAAAGGAAGAACTGCCTGGGGCATCATTTTGACCTTATAGACAAACGTACCGTGATGTAGTAGTACAGTAAGGCAGTGTGTTGACTAAGACAGCCAGTCTAACGCTGCAACTAATAACTGAAATGCTATTCAGTATATGTCCCTCTGTTTACTTTGGGCCTCGTGGCACTATTGACTTATAGTGATGATATTTGAAACAAGTCAGCATTTCTCAAAGGTAAACTACTCAGGTTAGGGACATTTATCGGGCTCTTATAATATACTTCCGGATTCTTTGAACTTTTGCTTCGACACCTGTGAATTGACTTGTCATGAGAATTGTTAACGTCTGACATAACAAAAGGTTTGAATGAATTCATTCTCGCATGTGTAGATGAGTCTATACTTGTGTAGTGATGTGTTAAAATACTCTCCAAGCAGAAGTTAATGTTATTTTTGGCGTGTTTTTAGGCTTTTTTTATCGGGGATTCTTTTGTTGAAGAGTAGTCTTAAAACACAAACCTGTACCGATGGCAATATGAAGAATAAGTTAGACGTGTAAAAAACTTCAATTAAAACTTTAATTAAAATTAAAACTCCACGATCTCATACCTTCCCCAAATGATAATGATGTAAGCCTTTATGACTAAGAAATTATAGATTAATCCCCCTGATTGTGCAAATAGGATCCTATATTGCATCAATTATATCTGTTGATCATAATCTACACCAGAATACAGTCTTATCTTATCAAAGAATGACATTATAGTATTTCCTCATAGATTATGCAAATGAGGTCCTTATTTGAATAAGTAATGTTTAATTATGTTCATCTTCACATAACTTTCAAATATCCCAAGTATGAAATTCCAGGCAGTTACCGCTATGTAATTATAACATTTTCTCATTAATTAGGCAAATTAAGTCCTCATTTGCATAATTGATATCTGCCTGTATTTCTGCCGTTCTTAATTACATATGACACAAGCTTGAATAGTCCTATCATGGAATGCAGCTGATTTATAGAATTTCCTCATTAATTATGCAAATTACATTGATATTTGCATAATTGTAATATCATTATGTCAAGCATTATTTCAGCTACCTACATGCCAAAAGTCACGACGATACATCAATTGGTTCTTGAGTTATCCGCCTTTAAACATTTTTCAACTAACGCACCTTCAGTACCAGAGCAAGCAGCTAGGGGGCTCAAACTCGTGTCACTTCATTCCCAGCCCAAGAGCTATCTACCATCTAAATTTCATTACCCTAGCATTTCCAGATCACGAGATATCAAAACCGGAAATTTAGCTGCAGTACCATAAGAAGCCGCTAGGGGGGCCTAAATCTAATAAGTTTTTATGTCATGTCTCATGAAGACCTGCCCACCTACCAAATATCAAGATAATCCATCTAAGCTTTCTCGAGTTATGCTGTTGACACACAGACAGACACACGGCCAGGAAAAACATAACCTTCGTCAATTCTTGGCGAAGGTAATGATGATCAGTCTGTGAATTTCAGTCATACAGAAAATTCATTGCAATCTTTACTCCAGGAGTAGCTGACATCACAATGACCAGCAGGTTTCCATACTATCCGGACACGGACCGAAGAGACCCAAATTTCCAGGACCAGGATTTCACTTGGTTATACTGCTACTACACCGGAACGCTTTTGGGGTCAAGTTACAACTATTGGTTCAAGCTTGAACTAGATACAGGGGCAGGTCGGCAGTTTGCCTCAGGTAGAAATACCGGGAGCGGATCGGATCCTCGCCATAGGCGAGTGAGGATCTGGCCTTATGACAGAAACGGCAATCCAGCACATCTCACTAACGCCTACTCCTGCCTGGGTCAGCAAAACGGCGTCTCTGACAAAGTCATCACGTTCAAGATGAGAGAGGACGGTAAGAAACTTTCAAAAAGTCCCAATAGTTATATAATATCAAAGCTCTTTCATCACATATTTCATCTTACCTGAAAACGTTCTTGATGCCCCTTCCTATGGACTAGATTTAATATACATATTGAAGAACGTCCAGTCATTATCACTTGAGTTAGGTAAATGTAAAAGAAAGAATATTGAAACGTATGTTGTCAGATGAGAAAAGATTTGGTTGATTAAGATCAAAGAACTTTGATATCCCATTCTATTTACGAGTCCCGATATTTGTTATTGAATATCAATGTCACTTCATTTATATCTATTTATCCACTTAGTTTGTTCAAATAGCTAGATTGGCTAAAATCAATGATCGAAAGACGGATGCAAAGTTGTATGATATTTTGTTTAGAGTTATTACTACACCAGCTTGGAGGTAGAGGTAAATATATTTCGTTCTTTGCTAAACGGCGAAAGGTTATCTGCCGGCGTTTCGTAACTCCCAAAATGTCCTCAGAAATAGAACTTCGGGTAGTGTAGTAAAAACAATATATTAAGCTATGACATTTAACTTACATGTACGTACCAACTTTTAAAACAGGCTAACGATTGAATTGGATCAATTTAGTATCTACTATTTCTTGTGTTTCAGCTGACGTGAGGCCCCGGCTGTTCTCCCGTACCGTGAATGTGGGAGACGCAGTAACGTTAGAGATGGTTCGGAACCCTGCCTCCAACAGGACTGGAGCCCTGGAGTGGAGGAAGGACGGAGTCGTTCTACAGGGTCAGACGGCTCTCACACTCAGCATCAACAACGTCCAGTCTTCAGATGAAGGGATCTATGAGTGCTACTATGACGGGGCATATTCTGACAGGAAACAGGGCATCATGAGGCTCATAGTTAGAGGTAAGTCCGATCACTACGCAACCCGGTCATCCCTTATGGGCCGCAATTTCACAACAATAATCTCATGACGTTTCCTTCCACGTGGATGCATATGGGGATGTGGGGATCATCACATCAATTATTAATAAAAAATATAGTATTTTTATTTGCTTCATTGAGTTGATATGACAACACATAGCAAGGCATTGATGGTTGCGTTTCTCCATATTTTCCTTTGATGTGCACTTAGGATGATTCAGCGATGAATAACATTTCAATTTTGTCCAAGTAGGCCTGATGGGAAATTTAAGACAACTTCTGAAGAAAACAACAACTATTATGATTATGTTTATCGAAGGAGAACATGTTGTTTTTGCTCAGTTTTTTCCTCTTCTTCTTCCGTTCCAAACAAATTATTACACCTTGTGTTATAGCCTGTACAGATAACAAGTACGGATCTGACTGTTCCAATGACTGTCCTGACTGTTATAACGGAGGGGTGTGTCATGATCAGACAGGCGAGTGTGTCTGTCCTCCGGGATTCAGCGGAACTTACTGTGGGACAGGTATCACTCTTTATGTTCAAAGGCCTCGTCATGGCTATATGTTCTTTATCTCTGTTCTAATACATGCAATACACGATCCAATCGCTTTTTGTTGGTCCAAGGGTGCAAAACAGGGCCTTGGGTGCAAATAGATTTGAAACAGCTGGATAATTATCTCCATAAAAATGGAGGTATTGTTTTTAGTGTGTCTGCGTCTATCTGTCTGTCTGTCTGTGTGTCTGTTTTTCTGCACATTTGTAGTCAACATAACTTCAGAACGCATTTATGGATTGTGATGTTTGGTATGTTGGTAGGTCATAGGAAGAGAAAGTTCAAGGTCAAATATGGGCCTTCTGGTGACTAACCTTGGTACTGCAGCAGACCTTTCGGTTTTTGTATCTTTTGTCCTTGACATGCTATGGTTTCGGATTACAGAATAAAGCCTGGTTACCAAACCTATTGTAGGTCCCGAGTCCTACGGAGAGGATGTAGAACTCGGGAGCTATAATATAATAGGTTTTGTAACAAGGCTAACAGAATATCATTTCAGTAGAACACAGTACTAGGATATTACTTGCAGATTTCTATTCACATTCTCAAAAGAAACTATTAAAGCATCGCCTATATGATTCTGCACACGTTTTGACCGTTTCAATGACTTTTCCATTGTTAAAACAGCCTGTGCGTCCGGACGTTTCGGTAAGACGTGTAGGTTCAGCTGCAGTGGAGGCTGTCAGGGCCAGCTGATGACGGTTCCGGATCCGGTAGGGTGTACCTGTCCTCCTGGGCTCACCGGAATGACGTGTCAAGACGGTAATATATTCACAAAATTCATTTTACACATTTAAAGGTATCCGATGCAATTTCAGGGTGGCAAGATTGGAAATATTCTGAATAAGGCAATCTGTATGATATTGATACATACTACCCCACATTTGCATCATGTATTTCATACTGCAAAGCACAGAAACGCACCCCCAAAATGAGTCCTTTATTTTCTGGGTGGTGCTTCAAACAGCAGCCCAGGATCCTACCACTAACCATTTTCCATCACAATTTTAGTCACCTTTGCTCAATGGATGTCAATATATATTAGGATAGTGTTGTTCCGCCTTATATATGTAGATACGTGACTAGAATATTGACTTTGAAAAATCTGACTTTTCACCCCTAAAACTACACTGAACATCTTTAAAACTGACATTTTTTTCAGTTGTGAGACAGTGCATTCTTCAGTCACAGTCAAGTTCAACAGAAGACTAACTCTTACTCTTTTCTATGATTTTAAACGTACTATGGAATCGTTTTTCTATGTGTTTTTCCTAGCGTGTCCGGACGGTACGTATGGCGCGAGCTGTACTCAAAACTGTCACTGTTTATCCGGAAACTCAGCCTGTCACAAGGAAACAGGAGCGTGTACCGGCGGATGTGCAGCAGGCTGGGAGGGAGACTCCTGTCAGATAAGTACGGTCTAGTTTAAATTAGTCACATGAACTTTGACACAACAAAAGTACAGCTATTTCGAAAGGTCTTTTACATACATACAGACATACAGACAGCTACTTGGGTACAACAGAATTGACATGCCTAACTTTCCTTACAACACTGGAATGAATTGGGACTTATTACCCCAAATTTTCGGCTGCCTCCTTTAACCTTGTTCACGGAATGGACCCGTCTACTCTTGGTACGTGACGTCAGAGACACGTGACCGTAGTAGCGGGCCATACACATGTAACTTGTGTCGCCCCCCGTCTCTGTTCAGGGTAGGTCTGTGAGCTCTAATGTAGACCGCCTCCTTTATTCCTCTTGCATAGAAGTCCTCGATTTTGAACCAGACTTTTATTTTCTAGAATAAAATTGAACTTATCTATAGCATGAAATGTAACAGATTCCGCTGAGCAAGAGGAAAGAAGGCTGAACAGGTTTGTGCGTTTATCATCACATGGATATTCATAATAAAATGTTGTTCATCTTCAATCTCATTAGGACAGAATGGACCAAACCCGTTAGGAAATTCCAAGTGTTTGTTTCACAGACTGCATATATTACTACGTCTGTATTTATACAGCCATACAGACAATTTTAATCTTGAGAGTTATGCCACCTTGTAACGTCGATGGGTCCTTTTGGATGTTTAGGTGTAGACTAGATTGCTAGATTGAGATTTTTCCACATTTTTAAGTGAATGCCGACTGTCTGAGGCATCACTTAGATTCTATGTTCACGATCACAATCGGTTACTATCTCTGTTGGTATATGTACAAATGTATATTCAACGCGGTATTTTTCTCCGTGTTGTACAGGGCCTGCCACAGTAACACAACCTCCCATGGATCAAACAATAAATATTGGTAGTCAAGCAACATTCACCTGCAGCAGTACAGGTGTGCCAACACCTGCGATCACCTGGTACAACGACAGCAGTGCTATCACACCTGGAGGACAGATCAGTGTGGTTAAAGTTACAGAAGTAGTGGACGGTGAAAACGTGGTGACCAGCACATTAACCATTACATCTGTGGGTCGTGAGGACAACGGAGTGTACAAGTGTGCATCATCTAATGCTAACGGGGTATACATGGACACGTCACAGGTGGCTAGACTTACAGTGCGAGGTAAGGAACCAGGATCTTTATATTTAGTGTTGACCTCAATCTTGAATTATACATTCGAAAGTCGTAATATAAAGATAATAATGTGTTTTTACATATCATGGATGATGTATCCGTACTTTCCTTATTGGTTGTATGTTTAATTTATCTTACAAACCTTTACATAATTGATTTGGACACCCAGATATGTCATCTCCAATCATATTTTGAGAAACTAATATAATTACCGCCACGAATCTTTGTCTTTCTCTAACTTGTTTCTCTTGCTATCAGGAATGCCGTAAGCGAATACATGAAACCGTTTTTATGTTTACCGAATGAGAACATATTGTTTTTTGCTCAGTTTCTTCATCTTCTTTCGTTCTAAACAAATAAGGTCAGTGACCAGTACCAGACGTCTGTCACCATGGTAACTGGTACTGGATTACGTAATGCTGCAAGTGCCATGCAAAACTGAGTTCAATGATCAATAGGGGCCATATATATGGATGTGTTTGAGTAAGAATAAAGAACAAAGCAGTACTTTGTAAAGCTGGACCCCGTAAAGGTAAACATGATGCATTTGCTTTGCGAATGTTACCTTCCTAGTGTTTTCTTATCTTATACAGAACGTCCGGACGATGTAAAAGTTACTGTCACAGCCGTGAACTCTACAGCCCTACAAGTCACGTGGACGGTGGGCGTGACCGGAAACCTGGACATCATAGACTCCCAGGTCAGGTACAGGAGTTTCATCGATGGTGAATGGACAACGTACACGCCGTGGAGAGCGACAGGAATTTCTGGTACAAATGGCACTGTTCGCATCTCTGGTCTGTTACCCGCCGTGAGCTATCATGTACAAGTCACTGTGCGAAATGCGCTGGGATTGAGTACGCCGCCTTCATGGGCCTGGGGCATTACAAATGAAGCACGTAAGTACAAATTATAGCTTCTTAATCTTGTACATCTAATGTGCATGTAATTGTTAAAAGCTGTGTTTCCCCTACGGCAGACGAGATGATGATGATAATGAATCTTAATAACTGTGCATAAACAGATTCTCAGACACATAAGCGCATCAAGCGGTTGATACGAGTCTATTTTCTACTGTAACAGAAACATCGTACATCAACTGGCTACATAGCTTAGATTGAGGTGCGTGCATCTCCTTGGATATGACAAGTTGTATACACACAACAAATAATGCACAACATATTCCTATTTTGGTTTCTAAATGATCCTTGCAAAAATATAATATTTTTGTATGATGAGCTTTTTCATAAAGTCCGTCTTTGCATGTTGTTCAGTCCGGTAAATCTGTTCTATGTCAACAGCACCGGGCCCTCCACACGGTTTGCAAGTCGCGCAGATATCTCACAACACCGTGCACCTGACTTGGCAGCCTTCGCTCAGAACCAACGGAGTCATCCGCAGCTACACTGTCCAGTACGGGGAATCGGTAGCGTGCGAAACACTAGAGTTTTCCCCAAAAGACGTTACCACGTCTGACAACAACAACAGCACCACTACCGTTATCGGAGACCTGGTTCCGTACACAAACTACACATTCCGGGTGCGGGGGGCGACAAGTGCAGGAGGAGGAGACTTCAGCCACTGTAACGTCACAAGGACACTGGAATATTGTGAGTACTGCACTATACTGAATATCAATAGCTTCTGTAGCATGTTGACGAGTGTGTTAGCACGGAAGACATTTCAGTACAGTGTGGGTTTTAGTATTCCGTACGCATCTATGATGTAAACATTACTGTGAGAGATTCTCAACATACGAGTCCACAAAAGCTACCTCATCTACATCAGACATTCTTATCTACCCGTGACCCCCAGACCCAACAGCCCCAGTTGTCCAGACGTTTGCAGACCAGCACGACTGTAACTGCCGGACGCCAAACATCCCCCGGCCGGTCCAGCTGCGTGTAGCCTGGCGGCGCCCTGACCACATCTACGGTCAGCTGCAGGCGTACCGAATCAGCCTGTACAACAGAACCGGCGGGGAACCGTTCTACCAGGAGAACATGACGTCAGGACTGCAGCAGGAGAACCTGACAGCTGTGGTCACATCGTCACTCCTGCAACCTGCGAACAACTACTCTGTCACTGTGAGTCTGAACTGTGACGTCTTGATCCAATCTTGCGGACCATCAAATGTTTTCTGTAAATGACTTATATGGATACTTTAAGAATTCATTAAAAAAGGTGCCCAATGCTAGTGATTGATCCTGCAATGATGCATTCTTAGCACAATTTAGTTAGGCTAAGGAATAGGCTAAGTTGAACTGACTCATCTGTTTTGGACCATTTACATCTGGCAGGTATCAGCCATTAACACCGTCTACCTTGGGAGCGAGAGCCATCCATATATAGCCCGTGCGAGTGACGGATGTAAGTATAAGTTTTCAAATCAAGAACACTAATTTGTGCCCGTTAATTTGTATGCATTGTGATGATCATATCTAATATAATTCTCTGTGGTCTGTAAGGGCACCCAGAACCGCTTACGATTGCTTGAATGTCGCATCTCCATTTGACAAACAATAATCTCATCTTAGGCCCAGATGCCCCGACTGTGACAAGACTGGCAAACAGTGAATGTGGAGTGAACTGGACAGCTCCTGCAGTAACCCGAGGGAGGCTGACAGGATACAATGTAGGTGTAGGTACAGTCCTTGGAATTGACATGATTCAGAAAAAGCCGCGTCTTGTGATGACATTTTCATCCTTCAATACCACAAAATTCTTGAAAGATGTGACATGCACTAGCTAGACCAATTGTTAACTATGATTTTTTTTCCAAACAGGTTACAAATGTAGACTCGCCACTTCATGACCCAGACGATTCTGAACCTGGCACCAGCTATGCCCCGTTAGGTTTGGATCAACAACAGTGGTCCAAGTCACTGGCTGAGCTTCCCGCCAACTCCTTGGTCCGAGTCACGGTCCGGGCGGTAACCTGTGCCGAAGGAGACAAGGGGGAGGAGGTCACTTGTCGGGTCTCAAGAGTTGGTGAGAAATAGTCATATTACGACTTGTAGACACACCTGCATATCATCTGCGCTGCAAACAAGAATTTAGACAAGAAAACGACGTAGCTCGTGGTGACGTTTTGTAGCTCACACGATGCCATGGTAGCATTTATACTTGGTTGCTCGACAGATTGTTCGACGTTGAATTTAATACTTCACAGTACGTGAAAAGGTACCTTACCTTACCACATGTATTCTTTTACCATATGTAGAACCACCGCCGCCTCCAATACTACCTCCCGGCCCACCCCCGATCGCTTTGGCAACATCTTTTCCCATGGTTCTTCCGAAAGTGAGCGAGAGGAATGGTCCTGTACGGTACGTGTTTCTATACATTCCATGGTTATCGCGAGCAACAGTTGAGGAATAAAATACATTGTCGATTATTTTCCATCCATTCTTTATTGGCCTCTTTTCACAATGACGGAGGCCAGTTTTACGCATGGTTTACCATTGATTCTCTGCAGTTGTTGCCAAGTCATCGTCATCACAATGACCGAAACCGAGAGCCTTGCTGACCTGAAAACAAGAGTTGGAGAACCAGACGTCATGCTTACAGAGGACGGTCCTGATGGCGGAAAAATTGAACCTTACGTGGCTTTGTCACTTTCGACGTAAGTTTCTTTCATATTATGAACCATAGATCTTGCTACAAAAGATACTACATTGTAGCTTACAATCACCAGAACACATCACATTCGGCGAAGCAGGCTATAGGATCCGTTTCAGGGATGGTTACCAATATGGCGTCTTAATAGTGAAATGTTGTAGTTTGTATCGTCATCACAGGATTTTCTATCCTCTGTTATGTAAGAATTACATGTGCTTCGTGGCAGTTTACTCAAAATCTCGAAGTAAAGCTTTCGTTTTTGTAAAGCAGAATTTTGCAAAGTGGTTTCAATGCAATGACGATGCATGCTTTGTAACACTCTGTGCATTCCTCCATCAGATACGACTACAAAAGAACCGATGTAGTACAGATCGGCGACGGAGGACCCTGTGGTCACGAGTGGTGCTGTGAGCGGAGTGAACTCACCGATCCCAGGCGAGCAAAGTCTCCTGGCAATAAGAAACTCCAGTCAGGTCAGAAGTACACAGCAGCAGTGCGGTGTTACGTGGAATTTGGAGCCAGAAGACGCAAGCGGAACACGGAAAAGGTATAAATATATATGATGTAGTTGAACGTTTAAATTTGGTCATCTTTAAAGTTTCCATCCTAGATTTTGTTTTCATGTATAATTGGTCAATTCATATTTCTGTGCCCGGCAATGATATATTAACTGCATTAATTGACAGTTTGTACGCCCTATCCATGGGAAACGTTTCCATTTTCAGTTATTCACGACAAGTGGGTACATTGAACCTGTAATCACAGAAATGGACAACGAAGGTAATTCCAATGGATTACAGAATGATACATATTTATATATACATATGAACTGAGTTTCTTTTTAAATTATTCAATCTTTAGAATTGCTTTAAAATCTATTATCAATTTTGCAACGTATGGGGCATAACGTTTCTGAAAAAAAAGTGCATGGTACCCGATGGTTTAATTCCTTTTAGCTTTTCGAGGATTGTCAAGAGAAAAAGTAATGGACGAGGATCATTACGCCAAAAACAGTTACTCAAGCAACTGGATATGATTTTGAAAACGTCAGACCTTTCAGCTAGTATCCACTAGCTTTCGTCATTGACTGAGAGACCAGAGGGGAAATGCAGGTTTATAAGTACAACCTGTTGATTGATATGCAAATAAAGTGAATACAAATTTTTGGAAGTCGAAAAAGGAACAAAAGTCAGACAAGTCAAGACAAGATGATGCAAATTAGTCTAAAAGCTCCTGTTATACGGAACAGGAGCTTAAGTGTTGTCTGTCCTCGGGGCTGGGAGTGCCAAATCCCAAGTGCCGGAAAGATCAACCCGTAGCCCCCCTTCCCTGTTGAGGGTGGGATTGTACATTCTTTCATATATTGCTTCTTTAACACCCCGTTCCCACCAGCGTGTTTCGCGGTCTAAGATATCCGTGGACTCGAGTTTGAAAGAGTGACCCTGGTTGTGTTGTAGGTGGTGGAAAATAGCTGAGGAGTAGCCGTTGGCACTAGGTCGGCAATGTTCTTTGTATCTTACTTTGAGCGGTCGACTTGTCTCTCCGATGTAGGTGTTGTTACAATTGGGCTCCTCACATTTGAGTCTGTAAATAACATTCGCCTTGGTACCTTTGTGGGGTCGGTCCTTAGGGTGTACCAGTCTTTGTCTGAGGGTTGAGTGAGGTTTGAAGTTAGTGGCTATGTTGAAGTTTTGGAAGATCCGTCGGAGTTTCTCAGATACTCCTTGGACATACGGAATAGTGATGTTGGCCTTGTTTTTGTTGGTCAATGGTTTGCACTTCTGGGTTTTCTTAGACTGATCTGAAGGTTTGAGCGCTTTGTTGAAAGTCCAGTTTTGGTAGCCACATTTAGCCAGGGCACCTCGGAGGTGTCTATGTTCGTCCGTTTTGGCTTGGTCTGAAGTGACAATGTTGTCTGCACGATGGAAGAGAGTTTTGATCACTGCTAGTTTGTGTTCCAAAGGGTGGTGGGAATCAAAGGCCAGAATCTTGGGATTTGGCACTCCCAGCCCCGAGGACAGACAACACTTAAGCTCCTGTTCCGTATAACAGGAGCTTTTAGACTAATTTGCATCATCTTGTCTTGACTTGTCTGACTTTTGTTCCTTTTTCGACTTCCAAAAATTTGTCTTCACTTTATTTGCATATCAATCAACAGGTTGTACTTATAAACCTGCTTTCCCCTCTGGTCTCTCAGTCACTGACGAAAGCTAGTGGATACTAGCTGAAACATCTGACGTTTTCAAAATCATATCCAGTTGCTTGAGTAACTGTTTTTGGCGTATCGTATTACCTGGATGTCTAACCTCCATCGACGTGACGAGGATCATTGTTTATGACAACTCTCTAACTGCATTGTTAGTAACAATTTAATAGTGGTGTATTATTTTCCCAACGTAGATGATTGATATGACATAATGTGACTATCATTCCTTTGTATTCCCTTCCAGTCGAAACTGTTCCTCTCGTCCCTATCATCGCTGGCTGTGCTGCTGCTCTACTGGTGGCTGTGCTGGTGACAGTAGGGATCATATGTTACCGGTAAGTAATGCCTCTATTCACAGAAAACGCAATCCATTAATGTGTAATGAATGTTATTATGTTTACCGAAGGAAAATATATTGTTTTTGCTGTTTCTTCCTCTTCTTCTTCTCCAAACAGTGACCTCTGACTTGACCAATGACATGATTTGTTGACGTCTGTCACCATGGTGACTGGTGTTGGGTTACATAATGTTGTAATTTCATGGCCTGCTCTGCTCCTGTCACCATATACCAGCAGTACATGTATGTGAATGTGTTTGAGTAAGAATTAGAGCAGACCATGTCCAAAGGTAAATATTATGCATTTGCTTTGCAAATGTTACTTCTCTAGTTTTTTTGTTTGTTTTGTTTGTTTGTTTATTGGTTTATTTGTATCAACAACAGCATGACTGGCAGCCGTGACGTACAAGGCTGAATTTCGATGCTTGTTTACAACATAAATCAATTATACTTCATCTTCATTCATCTTTGATATGTTAAAGGAAAAGAAAAGCCACTGACGACCAGCATGCTCCAGGTGCTCAGCTAGATCTGAAGATAATCAAAGGAGACGAGCCCTCCGCCACGGAATCAGCTGAAAATCCTGCATGTAAGACGCTGGATGAAGACAGTTATCTTTACGAAACGGTATAACTATACAATTATATAGTCATTTGAATGCCCGGCCAATTTTTTTTATTTTCATGCTTTACTTCAACTGATGATGACTGACCTCTACTACAGACCGCTTTACTGCTTTCTGCTACAGACCATTTACCGCATCCAAGACCTTGTCACAGTGGACGACGTAGTGGAATTCCTGAGGTGCAGGGGTTTTGGGCAGTATGTTGCAGCATTTAGGCGTAAGTTCTGATCTGCTCATCGTTTCCTTTTTTTTTTATAAAAGTAGGTAAAAGGGTTAATTGTGATTCTTTCGCTACATCATGCTAAGGCTACATCAATACGGATTCGGAGGAAAGATGATACATGTATCTATACTGTCCATGTTGATAAAATGATATACTGCTTTTTGATGTGGTGTCTGTTTCTCAGGACACAAGATAGATGGAGATGTAGTCTCGAATCTAAGCGACGCTGTGCTTGCTGAGCTCATTCCTGAGATCGGACCGAGGGTCAAACTACAAAAAGCACTGCAGGAGCTGAAGGACAACTCGGTTTGCCTCCTTTTCTGTCTCATCGATTACCCAAGATTGCCAAGTATCTAACCCTTTTCAATTTAAGTCTGCAATGTGAACTCTACTGTTTCATAAGAGTGAATGATTTAAAAAAAGGTCATGGTGTTACACATGGCCACAATACAATGCAAAGGACATCTCTTTGCTCCCAGACTTCAGTACCATCCAAATAATGGCAATGTTGCTTTAATAACGTTGCGTGTATTCCAGAAAGACGATTAGATTTCTACGTAGTATTTCTTCGTACTTTGTAATGAGGTAGTTGACTGCTGCTGATGACTTTTAGCCAGGCGAATACATGTATTCGCTATCCCCTCACTTTAAGGACTCCGCTGAAAGCAGCAAACCTGTCCACGCTGACTGGGAAATCCCCCGGTCCAGTCTGACGCTCGGCAAAGTCCTGGGGAAGGGACAGTTTGGAGAGGTCCGTATGGGGGAGCTGAGGAAGAGAGGTGTTACCCAGACCGTGGCAGTCAAGACACTGAAAGGTGCCTTTTATACATTGCACATGCCCTTAACATTCATATAAACACATGTCCTTCAACATACTAAAGCAAGCATGCTGCCTGGTCGCATGGTAGCATCAATAGTCATCATATTGTTTAAGAGAAAAATGAACTAAGAAACGCTTGAAAATCTGTTTTCCTTGTTACAAGTAGTAAGATAATGACTTTATTAGTGGTATCTTTCTTTTTTGCTATTTTGATTTTCCAGCATCTGCCGAAGACCGAGACAAAGAGGACCTGTTGGGGGAGCTGGAGATTCTGGTCACTGTTGGTCGTCATGACAACATCATCAGTCTGGTTGGCGCATGCACAGTAGAAGGTAATACTAATGTTAAAATTCAAATTTCGTAATGTGAGGGTTCTGTAATATTATTTGTCTGGTACTAAAACGAACAATCCAGCCTAAACCAGGGCAAAATGAGATTATTATAACGCTGATTGCAGAGCACTAAACCTGGTATCCAGTCTATCGCGGTTGGGGCAGATTTCCTTCGGGGATGCTGATAAGCCTGAGCTAGGTTCCCCGGAAGGTTTTTCACGACGGGAGTTTGTGATGGGGCTAATCCCCGACGTGCCAAATTCTATCACAGGCGTAACTTCTACCGGGCGGTCTGTTGAGCTAGGCGGGCGAAAACTATTAGAGCCCCGAAGACAACGTGCCCCAAACACGATAGGCTGGATACCATTTTCCCAAAGGTACGAATGATGTCAGAAAATGTTTGTCAGATTAGCGATCTATCAATCAATCCGTTCATCCACACTAGGTCCTCTGGCACTTGTGGTTGAGTACGCACCAAACGGCTGTCTGAAGGACTGGCTGAAGGACAACCGTCCTGAGGAGCTGGACCAGACAGACGACAAAAACATCGCCACCTCCGGGGTTCAGCTGCCGATGGACCAGCTCATCCTGTTCGGTATTGACATCGCGAATGGGATGAGTCATCTGGCCGCCATGCAGGTACAATGTACACAACAGCACGTTTGCTGATTTTTCTAGACACAAATGCATCTGAAGATCTGATCATGGCCTTATTTTACGTTCAAAATCGTGTCTATAGTCCGACCTAGCACATCATATGCCGTTGTGATGACAAGTAACAGATGATCTTAAGGTGGGAAGAGGAAAGACGCACTGCATGATAGACAATGTTGAAATAGAATCTAAGAAAGAAAGATACTGGGGAAGGAACACAAAAAGGCGACCGAAAGTCATTTCGGTTAGAAAATACATCATTATAAACCTGCATCGTTGTCCATCAGCCTCTATATCTATGCTAACCTTGACATTTCTACATGATGAATGTACAACTGCACTATGGTATGACAATGTAACGTTCGTCCATCCAGTGTGTCCACCGTGACCTTGCCGCCAGGAATGTGCTCCTTGGGAAGAACCTGACGGCCAAGATCTCAGACTTTGGTCTGTCTCGGGATATTTACGAGGAGTCTGAGTACGTCAAGAGCACGAAGGTATCATATCTCCGTCTTCTGATAGTCTTTAAAACTAGTATTGAAAAGCCAATTAATGAGGCTGCTGTGAAATAGATATGAGTCGTTTGCAAAATATGTCAATCTAATGTGTTCTGATGGTATTTTAACATTCCTTTTTCCTAACACAGAGCCAGCTTCCCGTCCGTTGGATCGCATACGAGTCCCTATTCTACCACACGTACACCACACAGAGCGATGTGTATGTATATTCTACTGACACTTTTATACATCTACATATAGTTACAATTCATAAATCCATTTATTTGCATCTGTGTAGTATAGAATTCATATCGATGTACAGAATGAAGTTAAATGAGAATATAGACGTGTTGTATTTTCCATGTTTCAGGTGGTCCTTCGGAGTGCTTCTGTGGGAGATCATGACAATGGGTAAGGAAGCACAGACAATGTATTTGACGCACTTTGCAAGCAGTGGAGGTACATATTCAATGAAACATGCATATGTTTTTGACACAACGTCATTATGCGCCATCAGCAGCTATGAAATGTGCATTCTTTCAATGCTTTACAAAACCGTTTCCGCTGTTCTGTAATATATACTATTACGTTCTTCATGATTTACATGTAGGTACCTTCAATTTTTTGTCTGAATGTCTCAATATATGTATGGCCACAAGTACAATTTTGTGTTAAACCGTGATATACTTAATCTTCCAGGTAAGAAGCCGTACGGTCGGATGACCGGCAAAGACCTCATGAAACTGTTGCCGGACGGCTACAGGCTGGAGAAACCTGCTCTATGTCCTCAGGATATGTACGCCCTTGTATTCAAACTTGTTTTATTCGTAAGCCCAGAACGACAAAAGGTGCTCGATCACGGGCCTCTTCAGAGGTGCCCTCAGAACTCCGCATAGGCCATGTGCAAATAAAACCTCTGGGGGAGACCCGTGAGCACCTAGAGGCTGCCACTTTTGTCACTCTGGGCCTTCGTAGTTTTAGTGTAGTTCAGTGACGGTTTTTGTATTGACTATTGCACAGTTCCACTAATGAGAAGATTTACGCCCTATCAGCTTATGATAGAATGTCAGTAAATGGCCTGTTCCGTTGATGCAAATATTCTATATATCTGTCTGCAACAGTTACGATGTGATGAGGTGCTGTTGGGAAACCCTCCCTGAGAATAGACCAACTTTCCCGGACCTGAAGGTGACTCTGGACCGGATCATTCAAGATTATAAGGTAACGTTTTCTCTGAAATGCACGAATTTTGTTTGACTTTATGCTAAAAACGGTATATTTCATCGCTAAGTCCTCTTTGTAGCAGACCTATCTGCAGCTCTATCTTGGACCAGGTAAATAAATCAGAACCAGGCCAGGGGCGTAGGATGGCATATGATGCATGCCATCAACGATTGTTATGAATTTGGAAACCAGCAAAGTCTTATTTGTTTCTTTTGCAGACATATGCCTCACTGTTAAAGTAAGAAACTGCGGATAGAATGAGAGAGACGGGGAAGAATCCTTTTGACAAGAATGAAGCCTTCAATCATTTTCTAAATAACAAATAGCCGGATAATATATATATATATTCATAAAAATGTATTCATAAAAATGTATTCATAAAAATGTATTCATAAAAATGTATTCATAAAAATGTATTCATAAAAATGTATTCATAAAAATGTATTGTGCCCAGCTCTAGTCTACCTACAGCTACAGAGCTGCATAGGTTACGAGGCTACCACTTTTGTGTGTATTTATATAGTCAATCGGGCAAACGTTTGTACGCTTGTTTTGTAGATCTGTCCAAAACTTTTGATTCAATTTGGCATGAAGGTTTATTTTTCAAACTTCTATTTAAAGGCATATAAGTGTTTTAGTATCATCCAATCCGAAGCACGCGTTAAAACTATTGGTGGTTTAACAGAGAGCTTCCCTGTCCAGATCGGTGTCCGTCAAGGCTGCGTATTGAGTCCAACCTTATTCAACCTTTATATCAGTAATCTTGTTAACGACTTAAACATGGCAGACATTAACGCACCGCTATTACACCACTCAAAAGTAACAAGTTTGCTATATGCCGATGACATTGTCTTGTTGTCCGAAAGTCAACAAGGCCTGCAGAACGCAATAGACACGCTTGGTAGATACTGTAAGTGCCAACTTCCAAATTTGAATTTCCCGCCAGTAGATTAAGTTAGTATAGTTTCCCGCCAAATCCCTGCCCCCCTGAGCGCCAGGGTAGGGAGCCCGTCTGTCTGGGACTTAGACAAGGAGACAGGCAGTGCATAGGGTACAAGCAGAGAGGCAGAAGTCTGGTGTGGTTCGTGAGTAGGACCACAAAGGGCCTGGGCACAGAAGTCCCAGGAAAGACCAGAAGAGGATTACAAAGGCCTGGATACAAGGATCCAGGAAATCCAAAAAGGGGATTCCAGAGGCCTGGATACAAGGATCCAGGAAATCCAGAAAAGGATTATCAAAGGCCTGGATATAGAGGGTCCAGGAGATACCAAAGGATATTCTGTGGAAGGACGATGAGACCATACCAGTTTTACGACAAGAATTCACCAGGAACTCGCTAAGAACTTGTCAAGAACTCGTCAAGAAGTTAACAAGAACTTGTGCTTTGTTCCTCGAATTGGGATCAAGAAATCAAACTACCCTAGGAATACAATTACCAACAAGAACTCTACCAGCAAATTCAGAAACATCGAACTTATACGGCGGAAGTAGAACAGGGCGGATTTCAGTTTGTATTACTAACTCTACTGAAGATTAAACTTTTATGACGTATTCCAATCAGTTTGTACGACTTCTTCCCTGAAGACCAACAGAGGTGAGTTCGGTAACACTTCCTCACACGTCCATCCCATGCAGAATAGCAGCAGCCACAGTAATAAAGTGGTGCTGCGCCTACAGTAAAACTGTGGTCTTGACAGGAGGTGTCAAGTAAAAGCTGTTGCTTCAAGAGAAGTAAAACTAGGGTCCATAGAAGTTGGAATCTACGTGAAGAGATAAGGCTTGGAACTTTGCATGGACCATAAGAGTGCATGAAAGAGCTCCAAGAAACTGTAAGAAGACTGCTTGTAGAAGTTTGTAAGAACAAAGGAATTCTATGTCTTGAGGTACCATGCTTGTTACGAGTGCAAAGTTGTACTTATGGCAAGAAAAGGTGTACAAGCTAGGAACTTTGTGCCTTGCCATGTGTTGGATCCAGAACAAAGGATTTCTGTGCCAGAGTAACCGAGTAACGCCAGTTGACATATTGGAATTTCTGTTTGATTGATGACCTTGCCCCAGAAAGGAAGTAGAAACCTCCCTGCGCGCGCGAACAGCTTACCGTAAATCAGCTAATGTAGCAAAAGGGAAAATCTGTGCCTGTACAAGGACTTACAAGTAAAGTCAAGTGCAAGAAGAACAAGCAGAAATTGTATGACTGCGATCTCGTAAAATCAAGCCCAGAAAGAGTGTAAGGGATAAAGGAAAATGGCATCCAAAGAAGATATGCCTACAGAAGAAAATAGTGAGAAACGACAGCCGAAAAGGGCTGAGTGGGCTCTAGAAGAGGACAGTAGAAGAAGGAAGGAATATAGGTCATCAGCCCTAGGCCGTTTGACTAGGAAAACAAACGAGCTAAAGGCGCTGATGGAAAATAATGATCTACCTGGGGTGCAAGAGCGCATGAAGGAATGGCAAAAGGCCTTCTTTGACCTAGAGGAAGCTGTTGGTAACTACCAAGCTACTCTAGACACGGATCAGTCGAAGGAGGACACAGGGAACTGGGTAGAGCCACATTTCGCAGAAATGGACCAGTTCAAGGACAGAGTCCTGGAGTGGATTAGCCTGGGTTTAGAGAAAGAAGCAACGGATGTCAAGCCGTCTGACAGCGTTTCTCAAACTGGTTCACGCACATCTAGTGTTGCGTCAAGTGCCAGGTTATTGGCTGAGTTGAAGAAAGCAGAACTCAGAGAAAAGGTAGCGGCTTTAGAAGCAAAGAGGAAACTGCAGGAGCGAGAGTTCCAGATAAAGAAAGAAGAGATGGAATTAAGGACACAAAGGGAGCTTCTAGATGCCAAGACCGAAATGGCTCAGGAAGAAGCCAAACTCAAAGTACTGGACGAGTTTGAGGCCTACGGTGGGATAGAACCAAGGATTCTTCCACCTCAAGTGCTGTCAGCCAGCAAAGCCAAAGGGTATGAAGGAAGAAGTAGCGAGTTCAGGACAGCCCTGACAAAGGAAGAAGAACCCTTAAACACCCTGAACCCAGAAGCAGCTAAGTTTGTGCCGAAACAGCAGGATGAAGATGGAAAGAAAAGTCCAACTCCAGAAGAGTTCCTCCAGGGTTTAGTGACCCAACAAGCAACAGTAGCAAATTTGATGATCGACCATAATAAGCAGGCCTCATTACCCACCAGGGTTATCACACCATTTGACGGTGACCCTTTGCATTATACCAAGTTCACTAAAGCCTTCAAGCATGCCATAGAAGAAAAAACATCGGATCCAGAAGATCGCTTGTGCTACTTAGAGCAGTATACCAGAGGAGAGGCTAAGAGAATCATGGCCAGCTGCACGCTGATGGATCCAGAAGAAGGATATAGGAAGGCCAAAGAGAGCCTGAAAGAAAGGTATGGCACACCATACAAAATCAGCCAAGCGTACTCAACCCAAGTGTCAAGTTGGCCAGACATTAAGCCAGCACAAGCAAGCATTAAAGGATTTTGTGTTGTTCCTTATTGAGTGTCAAAACGCCATGGACGGGGAACAGCACTTACAAGAGTTGAACCATTACTCGAACATCAAGTTGTTGGTGGGAAAGCTTCCTTTCAAACTGAGAGAAAGGCGGAGAAAGAGGTCACATGATATACTTCAGCGACGACCAGTCGACTTCGCTGATTTCGTGACCTTTGCCAAGATGGAAGAAGATGTCATCTCCAACGAAGTGTTTGGTGATCTAAATGCCAAAGAAAGGGGACAGAACTACAGCTTCAAGCCGCATCAAGGCAAGAAAAGAGGAGCAAGCTTGGCAGTAACAACAAGCCCAGAAGGTATCAGCTGTAAGTTCTGCGAGAAGAGTAACCACAGTATGACCGAGTGTAGAGCTTTGGCGAACAAGTCATATGATGAGCGTCTGCAATACTTCAAAGGCCAAGGCTTGTGCTTTGGATGTCTGAAGGACAAGACACACCTGGCAAGGGACTGCAAGCAAAGGGCTAATTGTGGGAAATGCCAGAAGTCTCATCCTACAGTTCTACACCGCGACGTAGAAGCACAGCCCAAGAAGACAGCGGCAGTAGGGCGCGTAGTACACCCAGAATGGGAAGGAGTGCCCTCCATCATACCAGTGAAAGTACGAAGCAAGACCAGCGGGATAACGGTAAAGACGTACGCCTTCTTGGATACGGGTAGTGATGTCGTGTTTTGCACCGACAAGCTAAAGCAGCAGCTAAACACGAAGGGGAGAAAGACCAGGCTTACGCTCAACACAATCAACTCCTCAAAGGAAACCCTGACTGAACTAGTAGAGGATTTAGAAGTGTCAAGCCTTGAAGGTGTGAATACCGTTCACATACCAGTAGCGTATACCCAAGAGAAGATCCCAGCTTCAAAGGAAAACATAATCACAACGGAGGATCTGAAAGAATATCCCTACCTCAGGGAGGTAGAGTTACCAAAGGTAGATGCCGAAATTGGCTTATTGATTGGAAATAACGTGCCTAAAGCCATGGAACCATGGCAGGTGATCAACAGCGAAGGCGAAGGGCCCTATGCTGTCAGGACCATCCTGGGATGGTCCGTTAATGGTCCCCTTAGGGGGGCCAGTGAAGACAACAGGACAGCGAGCGTCAACAAGATAAGTTTAAGTGCTGACCAAAGTCTTGAAGTTCAGCTGGAGCAATACTTCAACCAAGACTTCAGTGAGGTGGACGAGGACAAGAAAGAACTGTCAGTACAGGACAAACGGTTCATGGACATCGTGTCCAAGGGAACAAAAATGGTGAATCAACACTACGAAGTTCCGTTGCCCTTTAAGCGACCCAATCCAACTATGCCGAACAACCGTCCACTAGCACTGCAGCGCACAAAGTACTTAAAGAAGAAGCTGTCAAAGGATGAGAAATACCGCAATGACTACGTCGGTTTCATGCAAGACATCATAGACAAAGGGTATGCAGAAAGAGTGCCGCCGGAAAGGGTGCAAAACCAGGAAGACACAAAGGACGGTGCAGTGTGGTACATACCACATCACGGTGTATATCACCCACAGAAGAAGAAAATCAGAGTGGTGTTCGACTGCGCAGCAGAGTACGCAGGGACATCATTGAACAAAGAGTTGTTACAAGGACCAGACTTGAACAACACGCTTGTTGGAGTTCTCACCCGATTCCGACAAGAGCCTGTGGGCCTCATGGCTGACATTGAGTCAATGTTTTCTCAAGTCAGGGTCCCAGAAGAGTACAGAGACTACCAGAGATTCCTTTGGTGGCCAGAAGGCAACTTAGACGAGCCACTACAAGAGTACCGGATGGCGGTACATGTATTTGGGGCGACATCTTCGCCAAGTTGTGCAAGTTTTGCGTTAAAGAAGTTGGCTGAGGACGGAGAAGGCCGATACACAGAAGAAGTATTGGAAACAATCCGGAACAACTTCCACGTTGACGACTTGCTCAAGTCTACCTCCACAGTCAAAGATGGAGGACATTTAGCCAAGGACATGCGAGAAGCATGTAAAGATGGAGGATTCAGGCTGACAAAGTGGGTCAGCAATTACAAAGAAGTCATGGACGTTGTACCATCGACAGAAAGAATAGCAGAAGTGAACTTGGATCTAGACTGCAGCCATGAAGCTATGGCCACGGAACGAGCACTAGGAATGTTGTGGAACATTCAATCAGACACACTCGGGTTCCGTGCAGTCAGACGAGAGAAGCCAGCAACAAGAAGGGGAATCCTATCCGTCGTGAGCTCTTTCTATGATCCGCTGGGACTAGTAGCTCCAGCACTCCTCCCACCGAAGAAGATATTGCAAGATTTGTGCAGAGATAAAGTTGGCTGGGACGAAGATATCTCTGAGAAACATCTCAGAGCCTGGCGTCAATGGGAAGAGGACCTCCCTTTGCTAAGTGAACATTTCCAGGTCAGTCGGTGTCTGAAACCCGACGGCTTTGGAAAGCCCATAACCACCCAGCTGCACCATTTCGCAGACGCCAGTGAAGTGGGATATGGAACCGTTTCGTATGTCAGGATGACAAACGAGCAAGGGAATGTACACTGTGCTTTCGTGATGGGAAAGTCACGGGTAGCCCCACTTAAGACAATGACGATCCCCAGAATGGAGCTAAACGCAGCTGTAGTTGCTGTACGGGTCAACGACTTGCTCATGAAGGAGCTCGAACTTGACATCCAGGATGTGTACTTCTGGACAGACAGCGTCACGGTTCTGCGCTACATCCGCAATCAGGCTACAAGGTTCCGCACATTCGTTGCCAACAGGCTAGCTGTTATTCACAATAAGACGGAGCCGCAACAGTGGCGTTACGTCAACACAACTGAGAACCCAGCTGATGAAGCCTCAAGAGGACAAGACGTTAAAGCATTTCTGCAAAATCAGAGATGGCTGACGGGTCCACAGTTTCTCTGGGCACCAAGGAGTGAATGGCCACAGATGCCAGAAGGACTTCAGCAACCGCTACAGAGGGACCCTGAAGTTACGGTGAACGCCATTGGAGCGGAAGAAGCGCCACAGAAGAGTCCCATGGACGCGCTGATAGCGCATTATTCAAGTTGGCACCGTCTCAAGAAAGCAGTGGCCTGGATCATCAAAGTAAGGCAAGCCCTCAAGCAGAAATGTAAGGGAGGAACAACAACCACAGAAAGAGGGTTGACGACAAGCAACCTAGAGCAAGCTGAAATGGTGATCATGAAACACGTGCAAAACAGATACTACAAGCAAGAAGTAGAGGCCCTGAAAGGTCAGGGATTCGTCCAGGCTGGTAGCACCATCCTCCAACTGACCCCTAAGTTAGATGTAGACGGCATGCTTAGGGTAGGAGGACGTCTGAGTCAGGCGACGCTATCAGAAGAAGCAAAGAACCCAATGCTGCTGCCGAAGTCGTCTCGAGTAGCAGAACTAGTGGTGCGAGAAATCCACGAGAACCATGGACACATGGGGAGAAACTACGTGACGGCCAAAGTGCGAGAGCGCTATTGGATACCACAAAGTAGCACGCTGATCAGAAAGATAATCAGCAGGTGCGTTATCTGTCGACGTCATCACGGCAAGACGGGAGAACAGAAGATGGCCGATCTACCATCACACAGAGTCACGCCGGATGAACCACCGTTCACCAATGTAGGCGTTGACTACTTCGGCCCTTTTGAAGTAAAAAGAGGTCGCAGTATCGTGAAGCGATATGGAGTCATCTTCACCTGCACCACAACACGAGCAGTTCACTTGGAGAAAGCAGACTCCCTAGACACGGATAGCTGCATCAATGCATTGCGGAGGTTCACCGCAAGAAGAGGCCAAGTGAAGGCAATGTGGTCAGACAACGGAACCAACTTGGTGGGAGCCAAGACAGAACTCAGAAAGGAGTTAGAGAAGTGGAATAAGGAGAAGATTAAGGAAAGCCTGTTGCAGAAACAGGTGGATTGGCACTTCAGTCCACCCACAGGATCACACTTTGGTGGAGTGTGGGAAAGGCAGATCCGCACAATCCGACAAGTGTTAAACGCAATCGCAAAGGAACAACAACTGGACGATGAAGGACTACACACATTGTTCTGTGAAGTGGAACAAATAATCAATACCAGACCTTTGACAACTATCAGCAATGACGTAAACGACTTGGAAGCTCTGACACCCAACCATCTCCTGAACATGAAGATGCAGACCAGTTTGCCGCCCAACCTGACCGACAAGGACGACTTGTATGCTCGGCGTCGATGGAAACAGGTTCAGTATTTAGCAGATTTGTTCTGGAAGAGGTGGGTCAAGGAATACCTACCCACTCTACAAGGGCGTCAGAAATGGAGAACGCAGCGAAGGAACGTAGCTGTGGGAGATCTAGTTCTCCTGAAGGATGAAAACACCCCAAGAGGTCGCTGGCCATTGGGCAGAGTGATAGAAATAACGTGCAGCAGCGACGGACTGGTACGCAGAGCGAAAGTGAAGACACAACAAAGCCTGTTAGAGAGACCAGTAGTCAAAATATGTGTTCTGCTGGAAGAGGACCAGACTCAAGAATGATGGACTGTCAGTGACACTGTTCAGACAAGTTAAAGTAGGAAACTCAGATCAAGTCTTAAAGTGCATGCGTCGAAACGTAGTCAACTAGAGTACCCTATATGGACAGTTATATAATTTGCATGCTATTTCTACTAACCATGAATTATTAAAAGTACAGTGTAACTATCGTAAGGAAGTTGGCTCGTAATGTGTAAGGTAAAATTGCCCATCGGACAATTTGGGGGCCAGTGTAAGTGCCAACTTCCAAATTTGAATTTCCCGCCAGTAGATTAAGTTAGTATAGTTTCCCGCCAAATCCCTGCCCCCCTGAGCGCCAGGGTAGGGAGCCCGTCTGTCTGGGACTTAGACAAGGAGACAGGCAGTGCATAGGGTACAAGCAGAGAGGCAGAAGTCTGGTGTGGTTCGTGAGTAGGACCACAAAGGGCCTGGGCACAGAAGTCCCAGGAAAGACCAGAAGAGGATTACAAAGGCCTGGATACAAGGATCCAGGAAATCCAAAAAGGGGATTCCAGAGGCCTGGATACAAGGATCCAGGAAATCCAGAAAAGGATTATCAAAGGCCTGGATATAGAGGGTCCAGGAGATACCAAAGGATATTCTGTGGAAGGACGATGAGACCATACCAGTTTTACGACAAGAATTCACCAGGAACTCGCTAAGAACTTGTCAAGAACTCGTCAAGAAGTTAACAAGAACTTGTGCTTTGTTCCTCGAATTGGGATCAAGAAATCAAACTACCCTAGGAATACAATTACCAACAAGAACTCTACCAGCAAATTCAGAAACATCGAACTTATACGGCGGAAGTAGAACAGGGCGGATTTCAGTTTGTATTACTAACTCTACTGAAGATTAAACATTTATGACGTATTCCAATCAGTTTGTACGACTTCTTCCCTGAAGACCAACAGAGGTGAGTTCGGTAACACTTCCTCACACGTCCATCCCATGCAGAATAGCAGCAGCCACAGTAATAAAGTGGTGCTGCGCCTACAGATACTGCCAAAAGTGGAAACTAACTGTCAACCTAAATAAAACAAAGATTATTGTATTCAATAAGAAAGGACACACCTTTTCAGAACTTAGCTTTAAATTATTCTCTAAAGACATAGAAGTAGTTTCGTCTTATTCTTACTTAGGTGTAGTCTTTACAGCTGGATGTAACTTCAACACAGCGATGAAATCACTACAAAAGAAGGCCTTACGGGCGTTGTTCAGTATTAAATGTACTCTCGGAGACACTAGGGCTCCTATATCAGTTTACCTTAAGCTGTTTGATCAATGCGTTGTCCCTATATTATTGTACGGGGCGGAAGTGTGGTGCAACAACAGATTAAATGACAATTCGCCGCTTGAACAAACACACTTAAAATTCTGTAAACAAATTCTAGGATTAAGAAGGAACGCTAGTAACTATTGTAGTAGAGCTGAACTTGGCCGCTTCCCCCTATGGATTGAAGCGTATTGCAGAATGTATAGCTATTATTATAGATAAGTTAGAAATGTTCCCGTTGAAAGCCTTCAGTATGAAGCTTACATAGTACAAAAAGATCTTGTTAGAAGTAAAGTACCCTGTTGGTTGTTGAACATGAAGACAATTTTAGAGGAGCCCGGCTATGCCTGCCTATATACACACGAGTATATTAACAAACCATTCCATCTGCATGAACTAAGACAAAGATTAAAAGATATATTCATCCAGAAATTCAACTCAGCACTACAAGCACAAGGACAAAGAGAAAATCAAGGCAACAAACTGAGAACATACAAAACTTTCAAAGTACTATACGACAGAGAACCATATTTAGACATTCCAAATTTTTTAAACGGCAGAGCCATGTGTAAACTCCGTATTTTTAGTGACCACCCTCTACACATATAATCTGGCAGGCATAGCCGTACACCGTTACAAGATAGACTATGCAAGCTCTGTAACAATTCTTGTATTGAAGATGAATCGCATTTTATGCTTGACTGTATATTATATGATAACGAACGTAAATCACTGTTCAGTTCAATTAAGCTCGACAAAAAATGTAAAACATTATCAAAGGAAGACACTTTTAAATATATCATATCATGTACAAATATAGACGTCATCAATGAAGTATGTAAGTATATTTCAAAATGTTTCAAAAAGAGAGAATAAGCCATTAGAACTTAGATCGATACCACTTTATATATATATTTCTTTTTTTTTTTGCATTGTATACCTTAGACATGATATTAGCCTTTCTTTATTACTATTGTTGTAGTACTCTCTAGTACATTGTACTCTGTACATCCGTGCATTTATCCCCCCGGGGAATGAACATGCAATAAAGTTTCATTTCACTAAAACTTTCCGGCTCTTTATTTCCAGTTTTTCGTTAATACCAGAAAAGACCCTTGCAATACATTTCAATGGAGACTTTTTGGCGGTATCTATACCTTAACGGGCGATAATGAGCTCATGGCCCGGCGGTTGTCCACCCGACGGAAACCTCTCGCCTAGATGCATCGACTAAGCCAAAATGTTTTGGCGACGGCGTCTCCAACTCTCCAAAAGTGGGGTTTCATCCCGTCCGGAGATGCCAGGCCGAGGTGACGTCACCCCTAGCAACAGGTGAGATTGTTTTCCCACCTGCCACAGCTGCAGGTGGCGCCGGCGGTCCGACTTTGCGCTTTGACGACGCACCTGGATGAGGGGTGTATCTTGACCCTAAAACATGCTACCTCTTTAGTTCTATTCTGTGTCCTCATCAAACTCATTGCTGTATGTTATTATGATAATGGCATGTAAAAGGAAGCCGTATGAAATCATTTTCAGCTTATATTAGGACATACTGGAGGGGACATTGATTAAGCTGCCAGTTCCATGTATATGGGGAACTTCAGCATTTAAGAGGGGGAACCTAACAAACTTATAGGGGGAACCAGTACTAGTGTACATAAAGTCAATGACCTGGACCATGGTCTGTCCCCATGGTAACTGGTGCTGTTGCACACATCCTTGTGGTGTTGGATTACATTATGTAGCAGGACAGAGAGGGGTTGACCACCATGTGTTTGAGTAAGCAAAGAATGTAGCAGTTTATTAGGCTAGAACGTGTGAAGATAAACATTATGCTTTCGCTCTACAAATGTTACATTTCTAGTTTCTAAACAATTCTCCTGGTCCGTCGACATGATTTTTTAAACTCATGATGAGATAACAAAGCACGAGTTTTACAATCTTGCAGTTTATGATTACCACAATGGTCGGGGGTTTGTAGCCTCTACCAGGCTTGGGGATTTGTCCTTTCTGTTTTGTACTTTGAATATACAAGTAAAAAAATAACGCTCATAGGCTAAGGACATGTTCTTATGTCCTGTGTGTTACCAGCATATCTTCACACTAGTGAAGTAACAAAACTGTTTAATGATATAACACTGGTCACCTCAATTTTGGAATGTCACTTTCCGAATTTTGAGACACCTATGTTGAAACCCCTGATTTTCAAGTTTGTTATTCCTGGATGTACAGTGAACTTTTGCATGCCATTGGAAAGATCATGCTATCTTCAGTACCAGGTTGCTTTTTTTATGGTCAGAATGTACAAATTTATCAAGATATTTGACTTTAAAAATTGCAAGCCTGGCGGTCTAGAACACACACCGTCATGCCCAGCAGCTTAGCCTGGCAGTCCTAAACTTTAGCCCGCGGCCTGAGTTAGCCAGCCCGCATCCAGACCGCATCCAATTAGCCTCATGAACACCCCATGAAAACCACTGAATTAATGAGAATTCACATTTTCACACCTGTGTAATTAACAAGTTTGTGATAAATTCATGAGAGGTCTGGGCTCAATGGTTAGCCCGCGGGCCTGAACAGGCCTGTCGGTCTGTGGACAGGCTGGGCTGATGATTAGGCCTTATGATAGAGAACCTTCAGACTTTAAACACCAAACAGAAAGTGGGAAACAAAAATATGCTTCCAAATTGATGCTTCCAGATTGATGATGGTTTACACTTCACTTCATATCACTTCATATTAATAAACACCCTTCACATTTTCAGCTAATATTTTCAATAAGTGATTACATATTATTGACAAGTATGATGTACAGGTATGAATGATGATAACTTTCATGAATATTCATTTTGAACATTTTCTGCAAAAGCTTCAGAAATTTCTACTGGAAGAATTTTTCCTGTACATGGGAAGAATTGTTCTGCTATTAAGACTGCAAAAAGTCTCTTTCTAGTAGAAAGCTTTTTGAACATGTTTGAGGAGGTGGATTTTGCTCCTGCTGTGCTACCTGGGCTGATACCTGGGCGGGGTGTAACATTTGTGTAACGGTTATGACTAAAAAAGATCAGATAGCATCATAAAAGACCCTTGTCTCAGCAAGAACACTTCATATTAGACCTGATTGGTTGTGGTGTTGGAAGCCAACTTTTGAGGACACTTCATGGTCACTTACAGTTTCTGTTTGGCAGGTATAGTCCAATCTGTCCTACTATGGATGGGCAACTCCCCTGGCCAAATCCCTTTGAAACATCATGGGGGTAGAAATTTATCTTTTTTTTAAAGAATGAAGACTTGGCTAAGTACAGGTCACAACAAAATGAATGGACATGGTTAACAGATAAACAATAACTCCATGGAAACATTTAAATCAAAAGGAAAATATTTGGAGTTTTAGTGCCATAATCCTGCCATGTATAAGCCTCAGCCGATGTACACTGAAAACATAAAAAGCAAGGAATCGATCCTCAATTTGCAACATGAACTTGCTTTCAGTGCAAGGAGTTGTACAATGCTTTAGGAAATTCATGTTACATTTTCTTTTGTAATTATTCTGTTCCTGCACCTTTGTCATGCGGGTCATACCTCAGGTCACCTATTGTTCCAGGCATGCAAATGACCACTGTCCAATTATCAAATAAGAGAGTCTGGTCGGGCTACCCTGACATGGGTGCACTGGCACTGGCTCAATAGCCCGAAAAAATATCCTATCAGAAAATCTCATGACATT